TTTGTTAGTTTATATGTGACATTTAATAATATTGATGAGCGGAAAAAAGATTTTTTACGCTAAATTCGTAAAGATTAAAGTATACAAGTATACAGTAATGTGGCCAAGTGGTTAAGCGCTCGACTCGCAAACCCCCCAGATGCACTATGATCGAATCCCGGTCCTACGTATAAAATTAAATTAAATACACTTGACGGCGCTTAAGAACAGATACAGAAAGACTTTTAAAACGACTGTGCATTAGCTTACAAGATCGGCAATAATAATAAAAATGAAACTTACCGATGAGGTTCGCATGAAATCCAAAATCCTCAGGAAAGTAGAGTTGACCAGAGTAACACCTTAAGCTGGTTGGCAACAAAGTCACACTGTTCATTTGTACACTTGTATGAATTGATGATTTACTGTCCGTTTTTTAAACTTGAAATAAAAATAAAATTACCAGGACGTGCCGTTACCTTTACTGTTACAACGTTATTACATGCTGAAGAGAAGTTAAATTTTCAAATATTAATTGAATTTACAAGTGCTTTTATAAAAAAAAAAACAGTGGTATGAATTCATATGCAAAAATTACAGATAAGCAATTATTACTTTTCAAATTATAAAATTCTTAAAATTTCTTAAGAAAAATATTTTATACAAAATACATAACCTTTTTTTTTAAAGTTTCTTAACATACTGTTTTTACCAAAATATTCGGTCAGTCTTTATCGTCATACAACTTTCCCTTAAACTCGCCAAAAAAAGAGTTTTTTTTAACTATCAATAATGCAATCAGCACGATTTCCAAATTGTATTTTTCGAATAGTTATTGATGAAATGTAATTTTACGCCTAGTTTCCAGCAACCAAACTACTTTGTTTTAGTAAAAAACTCGCAATATTGCACTAGGCACAAAAACTCAAGATTTTAGGGGCTAAATTGCCTACCTCAGGAGTAGCCAGGACCGGCAAAAATTCTAACTATCAAACGCTAATTTGGGGCATTTAATGAATGGCATTAATATAATGCATGTATTGTATAGACTGAAGTACAATCTTCGTACCAAGCCCAAAAATTACAAATTTATCATCATCTTAATGGTCGAAATCAGCCTTAAAGTTGGCGATTTTGCAAAGTTCAAGTTGGTCGTACTTTAGACGGGTCGATTTATGGAAAAACGGATTACATTTTTAAATTAAGCGCCTCTAAATCTATCAAGATTGGTCAAAACATGTTGAAATTCCTAGATAAAAAACATATTACATTAATTAAATTTCAATGTTGTAGCCAACTCAGGATGCTTTGATGTTATGCAGGATGTACATCCCGGGATAATCGTGACATTATAATAAATATTAATTGCTTAGGTATTAAATGGCATACATTAAGTAAAACTGTGACTATAAAGATCATTAAGTAAAACTTACAAGGTATTTCCTCCCGTCGTAATCCTATTCTAGGCTCCTTTTCTTTATCGTCGATGGTTTTACAAGTCATTCCTGCCGAAGCCGCCTCTTCTGTGTCTTCAACAGTTTTACGTCTTTCTGCTGTAATTTTAGAATGCTCGGCTTGCTGAATTGCACGATCAACTTCCTTCATATACCACGTATGTAGTAAATTTTCTAGCATCTTGTTGTGATCTATGGTAAAGCTTTTAGATACAACTACATTTTAACTACTTTGATCAATAGAAAAAAACACTCTGTCCATTGTTTTTATTATTTTTTCTATCACCGCGTTCATCCATATAACCTGATTTTTATTTTATTACATCCTACTATTCCGACAGTATAGAAACACAATGGTACTTTAAATTTTTTCGTGTTCATTTTGATTTAGTTTAGTTTATATTGAAGCTAATTTTTCATTACGATTTATCTTTAACACGTTGCCGCTCACTTTAATTTGACGATCGTGCTTAGAAACACACTTTTTTTTTTAAATTGATTATGATTGCCAGATGAATATTGCCGAGTGTATGTTTGGAAGTGAAAATTATCACATTTGGCCACAGTTTTTCTAAAAAAAAACTTTCGACGGCTATAACCGTCATTTGCTCATTACGTCATTTTTTCTCGGTTCGTCTTCACAAAAATACACTTTTCAACTGCATGAACTGAAATTTACTAAACGTTTGGGACGACTACCGAACGCTATTATCGTCGTGGACGACTGTTATCGCATAAAAAAACAATTGGCATGCTAAACCTTTTTTTTGGGTGTATTATTTAATAATAAACAAGTGTATGCGTCAGTACACATCGTACAAATGCTGTTTTTTTTAACAATTAAAATGTGCATGACGGCTATAGCCGTTGTTTGCCTACATATCGCTAAAGATCGGACGGCTATAGCCGTCATTTGCGGTAACGTGTTAATACCTTAAGATAAAATAATAATGCATAATAATAATAAATAATAATGCATTATTAACAAATAACAAATAACGCACATTAATAACAAATGTAACTTTCAAAACAGCTGGATTTGTTTTATTTTAGATTTATATTCGCAAAACATTCAATTAATTGTATGATTCTAAAGAAAGGTGAATATTTCTATCATCCGAGCTGCATACACAAGCTAGACATATTGAAAGATATTAATAGAAATTATAGTGGAAACATAGCTTGATTACATTGTTTTTTATTTCAACTAATATAGCATTATATATAAATATTTTCTTTCGCAATATGTTCAGAAAATAACAAAATCAAACTCATGTTGACGTCTCTCATGTAGATTTAAATCTCATATTTGATTTTATGAAAACTTGAAGTCAAAATTTATTTCCGTAAACCTGGAAGATATATTAGTTGGTGATAGTTTTTGTATAGCATTTTCATATGGACTAATATTTGTAATATTAGCACAATATGCAGAATGTTTATTAGTCACAATATATATATATATATATATATATATATATATATATATATATATATTGATGAGTTATTTAGAATCATGCAGTAACACCAAGTAAAAATAACTAAAGTAGTTTTGAAATACTTTATTTATCCATACGTTTCGGTCTTCATCGAGACCGTCATTCAGTGGAAAAAAGAAATTAATTATACAAAAATACACTACACTATTACACTATGATAAACTAAGCTATTAATAACTGGAACATTTAAACTGATTATTTTTTGACAATTTTTGGTTACATTCTAGTATGTACAGATTGACTAACGTTTAAATGAGTATTTAAATGAAAAATTAATTATACAAAAATATACTACACTTAAATACTCATTTAAACGTTAGTCAATCTGTACACACTAGAATGTAACCAAAAATTGTCAAAAAATCCAGTTATTAATAGCTAGTTTATCACAGTGTAATAGTGTAGTGTATTTTTGTATAATTAATTTCTTTTTTCCACTGAATGACGGTCTCGATGAAGACCGAAACGTATGGATAAATAAAGTATTTCAAAACTACTTTAGTTTTTTTTTTACTTGGTGTTACTGCCCGATTCTAAATAACTCATCAAAATATATATCAACACCAAACTTACATATTTCAATATATATATATATATATATATATATATATTATATATATATATATATGAATTTTAACAAAAACTATTTTCTTTATACTTAAGAATAATAGTGTTGATGCTTTGAGACAAAACTGTTCTTCCAAATGAAATATTCAGAACAAGGTACACTCCTAAAAATCTGATTTTTATTTATAAACACATATTATTTCAATATATATAGTAATTAATTTAACGTAAAATAATGATTTTAATTGAATAATATATAATTTAATAAATAACACACTAACTTAAATGTGGCATTTTACTATTTTAATAATGCTATTTAATTATATAACAAATTCAAAGCTTTAGTAATACATAACAACATTAATATCTCAAAAAAAAAAAAAAACTGAAATTGAACAGTAATTAATGCTGGTCAGTCTATTACTTATATTTGTCTAATTAAATTACTCAAGAATACAGTTTTTTCTTGAAAAAGAACTAGTTCTAACTACTGATTTCATTAATTTCATATCCGTATATGAAATTAATGTGTGTATCATTTTCTATTAAATATTTTTATAACTATAATTGTTTTTATATACTTTGATATAGCTCAGTTTTATATATTGATAAATTATATTCAGATAACAAGAACAATTAGGTCTCAAAGCAACAATATTATTATTAAAAAACGATAATTATTAATAAATAACACAATGTTTAAAACATGTACTACAAATTTTCACAACTGTATATGTATATATATATTTTACTTTTTTTTTCAAGGCAATTTAAGGATAGATGTTTGTAAATACGCATCCTGAATATTCACTTTAACAAAGTTTACATTCATTTATAAACTTTTGAATGTTTCAAAGATCCTTATTCAGCAATCATTTTATTTAAAAAAAATAAATAATGGTAATAATCCATTGTATGCTACCATCAAAGCAGAATATTATTAATATGCATAAAGTATTTTTTTTACAAATCAGTAAATAAATATAAGTCAACAACATAAAACGTTTGTATACATAAAAATAAAATGTCCGAAATAACACTTTACCTCTTATGAACTTCGTATTAGATTTCAATCTAACATGGTTTATAAGAATTAATTCTGCTTTTATACAATACCATTTGATTTACCATGATTATTGTCTGAAATGAATGATTATTGATTTATTGACTAAAAGAATAATCTATAAAACGACAGTAAAAAACTTTCTCTGAAACAAAAAAGTTTATAAATGTAAGTAAACTATATATATATATATATATATATATATATATATATATATATATACCGTGACTTGACCTAATAAATCACTCAAACATAAAAGAAACTAATTCATATTTTGATTATTTAAACGTTAACATTACCTTCCTAATGTTGGCATTGTATTTTATATTTACACAATTTGATAAACTAAGAAGGAAAACTAAATAAAATGTCGAATGTTTCAAATAGAATTCATTAATGATTATTATCATTATTTACATGTATAAAAATATCATGATCTCATGATGTTGCAGACTCATGTGGAGCACCATGGTTCACTCTTTCTCCCGTCATTATGGCTTTGATGTCATCGGCATCAAGTGTCTCGTATTTCAAAAGGGCATCAGCAATAGCTTTATGCTCTCTAGCGTGGGCCCGTAGAATGCTCTTTGCTCTTTCATAACTCTCAGACATGATTCGTTTTATTTCTAGGTCGACCTGCAAAACAAGCATACAAAAAGTTGCATACATTAAAAGTAATTGCTCATCTACATATATCATACATTACATCATTTGAATTTCAATCATACACATTAAAAACTTTAAAATTTAGCACCTCCGCCAGTCAAAATAATGCAATATTAAAAACTTATAACTCAATTTTTTAGATGATGTCACTCAAACTGAACATGATTTTCTCTGCAATATATTAATTACACAGATATGATTTGTTATTTCTATAGACAGAAAATACTAATATCCCATAGAAACAATATGCAAACATTGTGTATGTAAATTGTTTTTTTTTTCTTCATAAGACTACTTATTTTGATGTTTTGAAATCTGAATTGGTTTGAAACCAATTCAAAAAAAAAAAAAAAAACAGCTCACCGATAAAACAAGAAGTGTTAACCGAACAAAACACGAAGATGGCTTAAGGAGTAAAGGATTTATGCCAAATTTCATAATATCAAACACATGATGATTGTGATGGTAAAAACTCAAAATTACATTAAAAACATCTTATAAGAACTTATTTCAACTAATATATAAAATTGAAAATTTAAGTATGTTGATATATGATTTAGGTTTGACAAATATATAAATACTTGTTCATAGGTATGTGGTCCTAGCTGTTCCATAGTGCCATTGGGGCCCGCAGGCTTGTCATTATTCATGGTACGAAGTCCTACTTTCTCTGACATACCCCAATCTTTCACCATATGCGCTGCAATTGAAGTTGCCTGTTTCAGGTCACTACTTGCACCTAAAACAATAATAATTGCCTAATAATAATCATTTCTATATGAGCAACAAATACACCTAATTATGTTTTTTACACAAAAAATATGTTGTATACAAAACAATATAGTCCGTGATTTCAAACCTGTGGGGCGCGCATCCCCTGTCTCCAATTTTCCTGTGATTTGAAAAAAATACAAAACTTTTTATATATTTTGATCTGTTTTCTTCTACTTGTATTAAATGCTGTTAAATTTTCTTCATAATTAACTTTATTACAGAATTTCACTATTAATGTATCAGTTTGACAAGTCAAATCTTGTCAATTGTCTAAAAATTTAGCTGAATTTGGTAAATAAGAAAATCTAAGTTCAAAATTATTAAAAAGGAAGGTTTATTTATCCGACCCTTATATTTTTGTATTTGGCCATTTTTTCTTAGTATAATTTCATACAAGCATAAACGCCATACATATCATTTTCTTAGTTATAATCTTATTGTCAAGCTATAGCAAAGATTCAATTTCAACTACAATTTTCAAAAATTCGGGGCACACCCGGACAAAAAACCTGAACCCAGGACAAACATTGCTTCTAGAAAAACCCTTCAGAGACAAACAAAGATTAAATATTCATGCAAAAATAGAATTGGGTGTAAATATTAAGTGAAACAAAATACAATATTATCCTCTGATAATCAATCCTGAATTAAACATATATTTATTAAGTTAATGAAATTAACGTCCAAAATTCTAAATGTTATTCATTCTGATCTGTCTAAATAAATTAGAAACATTCTCACATTTAAAGAAAAGGTAACAATAGAAAACATATAACTTCAATAACAATGCAGTATAGAAATTTTTACCAGATGTTATCTTGTCAGGACCAAATATTAGTTCTTCAGCTGCTCTACCTCCCATCATTATGTCCATCATGGCCAGCAGTTGTGCTTTAGTAACATGGTAACGTTCTTTTTCTGGTATATATGCGGTGTGGCCCAATGAAGGTCCCCTTGGAATGATGGTTACTTTGTGAAGTGGATGGGACTCCTGGAAATATAGAATAGTTTAACAGATATAAAAATAATCATATCGCAAAAATAATCTATTTTGACAAGTAATTAAAATAACAAATTAAAATAAAATCATTCATTATAAAACACAACAAAGAATATGATTGTTTGAAACAATATGAAACACAACAGTCAATATTAAAAAATATAATATATACATATATATCTTAGTATAAGTAATACCTTAGTATAATATGCAACAATGGCATGTCCACCTTCATGATAAGCAGTGATTTTATTTGCTTCCTCATCTGGTAATCGAGCCTTCCTCTCAGGGCCCATAAGTACTTTATCCCGTGCACTTTCCAAATGTTTCATATTTACAGTCTCAGCACCATCTATTGCAGCACTGAAATTTTTTCAAAACAATCAAAATTAAAAATTATTTTCCTTATTAAATTTATGGTATTGACAAAGTAAATGTTTTGATTACTAATTTTGAAGTCTCATAATTGATTATAATAATTACCGTAAAGCTGCTTGATTCACCATATTTTCTAAGTCGGCACCTGTGAAACCAGTTGTCCCCCGAGCTAGCAATTCTATATCTATATCTTTGCATAAAACACGTCCTAAATATAGAATAAGAATTTCTTTTCTGCCAACGTAATCTGGAGTAGGAACTGAAACCTAAGAAATAAAATATTGGTAGAATATACATATCAAATATGAAACTTTATAAATATTTATATATTTACTATTAGACAAGATATGTTATATAGATTATTATACATAACAAATACAAGTAAGTATTTACAAATAGAAATGAAAATGCAAATAGAAATTAAAAAAAGAGAAGAATCAAGTATAAATGAAATGAATATTGAAATAAAAAAAATCAAATTATTGTTTAAAAAAAAATCCAATATATACTAAGTGAAATACTATTATTATACCTCAACATCAAATCGGCCTGGTCTAAGAAGAGCTTGGTCTAAGTCATCTCGTCTATTTGTTGCACCTAGCACAATTACACCTTCATTTTGATGAAATCCATCCATTTCCGACAGCAATTGATTGATAGTTTGATTAGCGTAAGGATGCAAAACACTATTCGTACGTTTAGCTCCCACTGAGTCAATTTCATCTATAAAAATAACACAGGGAGCTCTCTCCTTGGCAGCTTCTATAAATGTATACAAAAGGTATATCTAAAATAAATGCAGTTAGGTATAATTGATATCATCATTACAAAAAAATGTTGACCTATTCAAAGCAATCTTCAAGACATTTTTATATTATACTAAGGTTCAAAAAGTATCTTTTATAAGTATCATTTAATAAATTTAGAAAATATTACTTACTAAATAAATCTCTAACTCTTCTTGCTCCTTGTCCAACAAGAACTTCATCAAATTCGGGGCCTGCTGCATGAAAGAATGGTACTCCTGCTTCACCAGCTACAGCACGAGCCAATAATGTTTTTCCTGTGCCTGGTGGTCCAACAAGTAACACTCCTTTTGGTAATTTTCCTCCCAAAGTTGAGAATTTGTCAGGGCTCTTCAAAAATTCAACCTTAAATTGTTAAAAAAAATCTTAATAGATTCATTTATAAATTATTTCATTTATAATTTATGAAATTCATAAAAGAAAACTGCAAACACTAAAAATATTCAGTGTATTTTCTATAAAAAGAGTTTTCAATAAACTCTTTAGTGAGTATTCCAGCAGCATGTAATTAGATTATTTAAGAAAAGCTTACAAATAAACGAATATAATAATAGTAACATTATGCAATCATTTAATAAATATTTTTGATACATACTACTTCCTTTAGCTCTTGTTTAGCGTCATCTGCACCTTTAACATCATCAAATGTAACATGTATATCTTCTGGGTCAACTTCAACTTGGTTTCCTAACTGAATCCTATAAATTCAAAATCTAATTATTAATTCAAGTGTCATTTCTGTAGTGAATATAATGTAGATCAAATGATACCTAAATACTGAGCCTGTTGCACTAGCCATCAAACTAACAAATATTGCTAAAAATATTGTAATCGTCAATAGTTGTTGAAATAACTTTAGATACATTTTAGTTTTACTCGTTTTATTTGGGCCACCAGGACCACTACCAGCCAGATATCCTTCAGCAAAGGCTACTTTAATTTTATGCCTCTAAAGTTAAAACATTAAGATTAAAATTAACAAATGCAAAATTTTTGCAACATATCACACAGAACAAAATTATTAGTATTTTTTTTAATAATCATTTTGATTTTCATATAGAGATTAAAAAAGAAAAAACGGTATTATCAAAATTCTTGTGCAGAACAAACTACCCTGTATGCAATGCCCAATGACTAAGCATTCTCAAAAATCTAACTAAACAACCCACTCAAGGATGTGGTTAAATAGAATTTAATATATATTTGTGACAATTATATGTCTTGTTCAGAATTTTCACCATATCACACATTGTTCACTCCTTTATGTTTTACGTGCATCTATAAAAATCAATTTATTATCATTTTGAAACATTGGGGCTGGAGCAATCCTACACTTAAAAAATTAACTAGATATTTTTGAACAATGAACAAAAAAATGTGAGAAAGATGAGTAATCATGTATCCATTTCAAATGTTTAATTTTGAGGTATTAGTCTATATACTTCATTCTGAAAGGTGGTGAATTTTATGAATTTATTCAGTTCTATTTGTGGTGTGATAATTAAGATAGTTTATGTATTAGTGTTATATACAACAATCTGATTTTTAAAAATATCAAGGAATATTGTCCTGATTTTTATCTCAGAAATATGCATCTTCTATGAATTTATATCACCAAGTCACATCACTCAAGCTGGCCCGTGCCTACATAGTCATTTTAAGTGAAACAGTAGAGTTCTAGTTAGATTCTTTAAGAATAGAACTCAACAAATATTGTTCTGTGTGATAAACACTTAGACTAACTGCACCATTTATAAAATTACCTGGTCACTTGACATATTAACATCTTCTAATTGTAAAAGCTTGGTTAGGTTTTCAGATTGGATGGTATTATCTGATTTTGAACCTAGACCTTCAAAGAAATAAAAGACCTTAAAATAAACACAATACATTAAAATTTTAACTCATTGTGTTCTTACCCATAGCTTTCTTTAGGCGGGATGATACTGATGGGTTTCTTTGAGATTCAGCTTGAACTGACCGCTCTGTCTTAAAGCATCGTACATGCATACCATGTGAAATTATAGATCTTTTAGTAAAATTAAACATTATATCATTTATTAAGTAACTGGATTGATTTAATTTATCACTAAGTGTAGTTCTACTATTGACATTGTCCCCTTGATGTAATGTGTAGCACATTTTATTTTCATTGAATGTTTGTTTAGATACGTATGACCGGTGCCATGGGTGTAATAATGATCTGATGTCATTAACTATTTCGTCTGGATTTATTAGTTTCATGTTAACAACATCAGTAGTAGAAATAGTGCTGGCAGCCACATTTTTTAAGCCTAACAGAGCCCTTTGTATAGATTCTTGTATCTTTTTTTGCCATAATTTAACTAAGAAGGAACTCGTTTTGAATTTATGTTGAGTTGCTTTAGAAGGTTTTAGTACATTATTTGTCCTTCTAGAACCTGACTTTGTACCTATGTTGAATAAAATCTGAAAATGAACAGAAGTAATATTTTACTAATCCTTTTGAACGGTTAGAATGGTATTTGATTACCTGATTGTGAGTTGTAAATGAAAACATATTTTATGAGGTAAATAAATACAAATATCTCTGTGACAACTTATTATTATGACTGAAAAACGTCATAACCTCTCCAATTCTATCAAGTTAGGGTGACTAAGAAGCAACTTCACTGCAGTACCAGAACGACGTGATATCTGTTCGAAATTAAATTAAAGATAAAGCGAACACATTGTTTCATGATCACACGGTATGAGTTGAGTATTTAAAAACAATTTTAAAGTATTCATATATAATATTTAACATTACATGAACAAATAGTATTTATATAATTTTTGCACACTAGTATGAGAGGTTTATACTCTTCCTTTATCTATGCACACTAGTATAAGAGGACTCTCAAATGTGTGAAAAAATAATAAACATTAGCTAATTAAAATACACACAAATTTATATTTATGAAAATTATTTGTTATACATACTTTAGCCATTTTAAATTATTTCGTTATTTCATATCCCAGTGAACTACTAGGAATGGCACTGGATATAATTTAAAAATGAAATACTTTTTAATAGACCAAAATATAGACCAAAACAGTTTTTTGACCGTCATTATCAAAATTTGTTTTTTTAACGTCAAACAAAATATTTATTAAATAAAAAATAGATCATTATTGAAATAGTTTTTAAGTAATAATGAATATAAAAATACTTACCGTTTGAAATTCAGCCGGAATGAATTTTAAGATAAGCTGTTTCCACTGAATTTATGGAATCGATCCTCTCTTTTGTTATATCCATGATGCTGCTGTGTTGAAAACAAATAAATCCAAGTTAAGTATTTACGGAAAATGTGGTTAAATTAGTTGTCATTTTGAAATTTCAGTTAAAGGAAATTTATGCGAATCGGTGACTTTTTTTTTTTGATTTTATATATTTTTTTTATCGAAAACTAGTGTTTACAAAAATTTTTGCGTCGGGATTGCATTTTGATACGTGAGTCATGATACTAACATATTTTCAATAATGTTGTTTTTTTTACAGATTTTTAATTGAGCGATTTTAATTTTGCCAAACAAATTTACGCGACAGATAGAATATAAGATTCTTTTTTTTATCTCAAACAAAATTAACCAAAGAAAAAAACTAAAATAAAAATGCATCTAAATAAAATTTAAATCAATTATACGCGAAATAAAAAAATTAAAATATTAAATAAAATTTACAAAATATGCATTTTATGAGTTTTATGTATTTACTAATGATTCTCACATTATTTATTATTCAATTAATAGAGTATATTAAATTCATTATCAAACTATTAAGTATATATTATATTAATAGTTAAATTATTATCAAAATTGTGCAATGACAATTGTACAAAGTATTTGAAACTGCGTGATTTAATTGTGATATTGAGATTAATAACATAAATAAAATATACATAAATGATAAATAAATTATATGATTTGAATTAAAAATTAAATTTTGTAGATTGAATCAATTGTTTTATTTGTGTTGAATAAAGACAATTGTTCTCTGCTGTTGTTCAATTAAACATTTATTTCATATTGATTTTTCATATTCATATTATTTGGCTAGAAGACTTCCAAGTTAATAATCATTATTTGATATAAAATTAATAATAATGAATTCATTATTATTTATTAATAAATATTTTTAGTCTAGCTCCGTGTGTATCCGCGCCTTTAGCTCGTCGCGCACTTCCATCGACGCATAGATAAAAGAAGAGCATCGACGATTGGACGATTCGATATAGTTC